GGGTAGGACGTGTGTGTGTGTGTGTGTGTGTGTCTGTGTGGCACTCCAGTGAACTTGAGGGAAAGAGCCCAGCATACAACTTGGGTCAGTACTAAATCACTTGGGCCAGGGACTGGGGCTGGTAAAGAAAGGAAGGAAGTAAACAAGCATTTTTAAGTACCTATTATGTGCCAGGTACTGTGCTAAATGCTTTACAAATCTAATCTAATTTGATCCTCACAACCCCCTGAGGAGGTAGCCGCTATCATTACCTCCATTTTACATTTGAAGAAACTGAGGCAGAAAGGTTAAGTGATTTGCCCAGGGCCACTCAGCTATTAAGTGTCTGAGGCCAAATGTGAACTCAGGTCTTGTTGACTCCAGGCCCAATGCTCTGTGAACTAAGTCACCTGGGTGACTTTAGTGAAACATGAATTGTCCAGAATAAGAGAAGCTGAGACAGTTTTAAGTTCCAGACCCCAGGAAAACCACATTCAAAGGGGAAGGAGGCAGAAAGTGAGAAACAGGAGGAAAAAAGGGGAAAAAAACCCCAAAACCTGATTACCAAAGATCTCAGAAGGGAGAAAACTCAGTTAAAGACCTTGAGCGTAAGAAGATAAGCAGAAAGGAATATGGCCTCCAACAAATCCTGTCATCTATGAATAAACATTAAGTAAAATGAATCAGCACTGACCCTGTGGAGAGAGCATGGAACCACAGCTGGATGTTTCCGAGGGGTTTAAAAGAGGAAAAAAAAGAATTGTGAAAGCAAAATTTATGACCTGCGTAATAGAAATAATTAGCAAGAGAGAAAATTTGGATCCATAGACGCAAGTTTCATCAAAGAAACAAAAGACAGAATAACTGATTGGGAAATGCAGAGAAGCAAAAAAAACAATAACCTTAAAAGAACACGATCTCCATACAAGCAAAACATTCATGTCAAGGCAGGATGTGAAGACAACTTAAGGATTATAGGTGTCTCAGAAAAACATGAAATCATCATTTTAAATATGCACCTATTATAAAATGCTATAACAACTTATTTACACATAGGAAAACCTTGGCTATCTGAAACCCTCCAGGAACTGAGTTATTCTGGATAGTCAAGTTTTCTAGAGAATTGAGTATTTATACTTTATTCATCAAAAATTTTTATTTATTTTTGACGCACAGCTTTCTAAACACTAGACTTGGACTTAGGAAGACAAAGGTTTGAATCTACCTCAGGTATTTACAATCTATGTAACCCTATGCAAGTCACTTAACTGGTCTTGGCCTTAGTTATCCATCTGTAAAATGTGGATAATAATAGGACCTACCTCACACACAAAGACACACACACGTGTGTGTATGTATGTATGTATGTATGTATGTATAGGATTGGTCCTGTGACTGGACTAGACCTGTGATTTATCTGGTATAGAGAAATACTCCTTGCATAAGGAAATTCTACCAATGCAAGTTGCTACCTTCCCTGCAACTTAGTCTTAAAGTGCTGTCCAGGGCACTAAGAGGTTAAATGACTTTCCCAGGATCACACAATTACTATGTGCCAGAAGGGCAGGACTTAAACACAGGTCTTCCTGGTTATAATGCCAGCTTTCAGTGCACTAAGTCACAGTGAAGGAACATCCTCTATATCTGCGCTTGCTGTATAATCTATCATTTTTTAAACTTTAAAAGTTTATGTAAGTGTGAGCTACTATTATTGTTGTTGTTATTATACTGTCCTGTCAGAGTATAATGGAACAAAACCGAACCTTTTTTTGGTGACTCAGGACATTATTATGAAGCAATTATTCCCATTTCAATATTTCCTAAATCTGTCTTTGGAAGTGTGGAAGGTTAATTGCTGAAAACTATTATAGCTTCAGCCTGCTGGGCAGAGATTTTTGTCTTACTTGCATAGTTTTTCTGGCTCTTCTCTTGCTAGCATTCAAAAGGATAAAAAGCAACCAGTAAAACAATATTAAATAAGATTGATTATAACAAAATTGTTTAAATTGCTTTAAATCCAACATAAGTTGGGAAAAGCAAGCATCATAAAGTAGGAATTAACCTCTCCTCCCCCCAAATGGGGTGAATGGAACAGGATTCAAATGAGACAATTACCCAAATGAGGTTTATTTTTATCCTAAAGGCTTGTTTCCAATTACTCATACTACCTTTTAATTTATAAGATTTTTGAGAGAAAAACAAAGATGCCTCTGAATCATCTATGTTATTTATTAAGGTTATTCATTTACATTTTCCACAACAGGATTGAGAATTTGAAAGCTCACAGAAAGTGCCATCATTCCTCATTTTCATTAACCCCTGACATCAATTCAATAACCACTGTCACCGAGTCTCCATTGAAAATAGCATAGCTACAATATATTCAATAGCATGAACATAAGGGAGAAAAGCAATACTGTCTGTCATACATAGGCAAAATATTGCCCTGAACATTAGCATTTCATAATAACACTATCAAAACATTATATTCAAAAGCCCACTTGATGTTTGAAAACCTTTCTATAATGCTGTCTGTCCAAACACCCTATAAAACTAATGTTTTTGCCTTATATGACTTAATGGAACAAATTAGCAATGTTGGGTTTCCTGTACCTATATTGTAATTCTCTTCCTTGATTTCATCAGTTCCTATGAGTTCTCCTGAACTTCAATCCTACATTACACCAATTTCCAGTTGGACAACTTCAGTGAGGCATCTCAAACTCAATATGTATAAAAGAGAACCAATATTTTCCCTTATATCCAACCTTCTCTGGATTTCTCTATTTCTATTCCAGTCATTGCCATCTTTTCAGTCACTTGAGTTTGTATTCTTGAAGCCATCTTTGGCTATTTTCTCTCCATTGTCCTATAGCCAATCATTTGCCAAGCCTTGTTAATTTTATCTCCACAACTTATCTCACAACAACCCCCCTCTTTCTATGCATATGAGCACCATATTAGTTCAGATCCTCATCAAATCTCACCCAGACTACTACAATAGGCTCTGTGCTTCTAGCCTCTTCCCAATCCAATAAATTCTCCACAAAGATGTCAAACTGATGTTCCTAAGTCACAGATCTGACCATATCACCCATTCCTCAAAATCTTCAAAAGCTCCCTAATGTCTCTAGAAAGAAAAGAGGCAAATTCCTTATAAGGCCTAGCATTTCAGTCTCTTCTCAGTCTGTTTTCCATCCTTAGGCTTATTTCGTATTCTTCCAAGTCATCCTCCCTTCTAGTCCAGGGAGTTGGATGGTCCATGGACAAGACATTTTAGCTCCCACATCTCTGCATGGACAAGTAGTTCTTTATATCTGGAATTAACATTCTCCTTAATTCTGGGTCATGGAGTCTCTTGCTTCTTTTAAAGTAGAGCTCAGGTGACAATTTCTACGAAGTCTTTACTGATACCACCTATTTACTAGCATTCTCTGATTCTAGCAAATACTTTGTATTTATTTGTGGACATGTTGTATTCTCCCTGAACACCTCCCTCTCCCTTTATATGCAAGGTCCTTGTAAGCAGATATCATTTCATTTTTGTATCTGTATTTTCAGCACCAAGCACAATACTTTACAAAAGTAAATGCTTAAAAATGCTCCTGAATTGGACTGAGAACAAGAAAGACAAATGAGAGAAACTGCCACAGAACTGTAAGGCTCTAAAGTTAACAATTTACTGTTTATTATTCTGGCTAAATGTGTGGATTTGCTATTGCTGGTGGGGACCTATATGAAGGAGAAGCATCCACAAGGCCACCTAATTATACCTTCTTCAGCATACTGTGAATCTCCTTACTATGAACATTACCTTCTTCTTCCCTAATGGTCTGCCACTCTGATGAACAAAGGTTTCTAATTATATGTTTCTGATATGACTACATACAGAAATGGATACCATCTAATTTCCACTGTAGTATGTGAGACAGAGGGTTAAGTGACTCAAAGGAATGAGTCCATTTGTTACTGAAGAAAAGAAAAAGGAGTTGGTAGCATAGTGAGAAGAAAAATGAATTAAGATTGTCAAGAAAATTAGAATCTCCTTCCAGCTTTGACAGTAACAAGCTGAATGACCCTGGGCAAGTAAGTCACTTTAACCCCCCTCGTCTGCAAAGCCAGAAGCTTGAATGAGATGATCCTGAAGGTCTCGTCTAGCTCTAGAACTTGGTGATTTTAGGATTTTAGGGAGAAGGGAGGATATACTTTCTGCGGTTTTCTCCATGAAAGTGTTCTCTCAGCTATCTGGAACTAAAACATTTCTAACACATACTTCTAAAATCCTGTTTAAAAAACAAAACACAACACATTTATGGTAAAAATAATGATTAAAAAAGAAACCACATCACTTTAAATGCAGTTATGATTGTATGGATTTATTCTTACAGAAAGCCATAATTTAATTTAAGCTTCATTTTATGAAAGGCATCTCAGAGAACTGTGGCAACGACTGTCCCACTTTCTCATGCATTCTTTAGGTAGTTGTTTTAGAAAGTCAAGCCTATCCTATTTCGAGCTATTTCATTTCTAGGCCAAATGAAAAATTGTCTTTCCTTGAGTAGATGGACTGATTAAATGATTTCACATAGAAGTTATATTCACTGTCTTATTTCTGCAACACATATCAGTAAATGGGGGAAAAATTGTTAAGATTTCTGAAATGATCAGAATTATTATTAGGCATATCCTAAAAATTTTAAAATAGCAAAAACATTAACTTACAAAGAATGGGACATAGGTATTCCAAAAACTGAATATTTGTAATGGTTCTCTGCATACTTTTGTTTATAAAAGAAAAATTCAGTAGCTTCTCTTAGATTTTTTTTATAATTTTTAATTTAAGAAAATTAGGTAGATTATAAGTACCTCTGACCCTGTAAAGGATTCTACTATTGGGACACTCTTGTCCTCTACAAGGTAATGGAAAGCTAGAAAACAGACAGAAAAAATAATCAATTTACACTAGACACAAATTACACAATTAGAAAAAAAGTTATACAAATAACAAAGAATATACTTACTCATTCCTGAGCACTCTCTATCTCCATCCCATACATTAGAAACAGCATGCCCAGTTAGTAGAAGGTTAATTAAACTTTGGCTATTTAACATAAAAAATATCTATAATTAATAAACAAAAATCCAGCAGCAAACAACTATTTGTTTTGAATAAAATTATTTCAAAGGCACATAACATTTAACTTTGATTAAATTCTTTGCATTGAATTTTGCTACCTTGGGGGGAAGGTGGGAGAGAAACGACTCTTAATTTCAAAATTTTCCATTCCTAAAATGTCACCTGATAATTAAAAATCAACACTGATAACTTTACTCCAAAATATATTCTGTCCTCTATATTCTATATAAATTTAAGACCTTTACAAAAGACAGTATATTTAAGAGAAGAATGCTGAACTGATAATATTTAATATTAAGCCCATTTACTTTCATTACTGAGTATACAAATTATCTCGAAATAATAACTAAAGTTTCTAGCTTTCTATTTTTGACAGCATTATGTGTTGAATTCATGTCATGAAAATAGGCAGCTACTAGTGACTACATCAATGTATTGGAAAGCATTAATCTTTTTGCTCTGTTTTCTTTCCACGTCTCTCAAAAATTATTTTGAATAAAGGAAATAACAATGTGAAGAAAAGAATTAGTAAAACAGTAAAGGTTAGAGGAAATGGGATGAAATTGCTACTGATTCCCACTTTTAAGAAGGGGTAAATTTTTATTTGGGAAATAAACAAAAATATTCATCTATGAAATGAACAAAATAGAATTTTAAAAATCACCAAATTTCATTTTTATAATGCAAAAAATTATTCTGTAAAATGTATTTTAATATATGGAAGAAAACTTCATTTAATACTTCATACAGAAGAAAATTAAGTCATAAAAGACTTATGTTCCTTTTCATGTTCCTGAACAACATTGTTCCTAAAAATAGTACTGTTAACTAGATCCCACTACAGTGCTTTACGTTAGGTCATGACTATATTAAGACATCTTAATTCATTACCTGCCATGTCCATATACAGGATCTATCAAAGGTTCTGTTGAATCTTCAATTTCATTTTTTATGTTTTCAATACCCTAAAGAAACCAATTATTACAATTCATTGGCATTTTTAAAAAAATTAGATTTAAAGTGTTTTACACTGATCAATCCCTAATATAAAATAAGCAAATAGGAAAAAATGAATGCTTTTTGTAGTTAAAGATATCTCAAGTAAAAATAATGAGGAAGTTTATTAGAAAGCAACACAAGTCCTAACATTATCTTTTTGTGGTCTATAATAGGTTCTGTGAACTGAGAAGAATAATTAGTTTCAATAAAGTATATTTCTTATGTTAAAAGAGTAAAATTATGCCCTGATTTTAAAAGGTAATAGGAAGAAAAATTAGTTAGCATTAATTTTACTTTTTTGGGGGGAAGAGGGCAGTGATATCTCAAATTGTGCTTTTATTGGTAGGGAAAATATGATGTAGAAACTGCTTCCATTTAGACCACTGATACTGAATAAGAATTTAATTTGTTTTGTATAGTATAAGACAGTCATCTGGGGTCATTGAAAGGTGTGATTTGTACATGGTCACACAGCTAGTATGTGTCAAGAGCAGGCCTTGAACCCAGGTCTTCGTCACATCAAGCCCAGCGTTCTATTAATTATGTCTCACAGCCTCTCAGTTTACCTATCTAATATATCTATTGAGGCATACATTTGATTATGGTTTCAAAATGAGAGGTGCCTAAATATCCTACTTCATAAAACTTTATGTATTTAAAATACATACTAACTGTTGGTGGCAAAAGAACTTACCCATAGTAAAGGAAATGTTTACCATTCGTTATGCAGTGGAGTTTAAAAAAATGAAAGGGTTGATTCTGACCTTGTATTAACACAATCTTCTAAAAATATATTTGAATACTGTTTAAAAAAAAAAAAAGCATGCAACTTCCTAAACCACAAGTAGGCTATATCTACTTGTGTAACAAGGGAAAACAAGATGCTTAACTTCTATAATTCCACTGGTTACAAAAAGAAACTGATTCAGATAAATTGCTCAAACCAGCATGAAGATGTAGCTGGATTAGGCTAATAGTTCTCTGTAAAACTGTAGTTAACAGACCAATATCAAATGTATCCTGAATACCTCCAGCATTCAAAATACCACAGGAGGATGCAAATACAAAATAATCTTAAGGGGCTTAACTGATCACCCACAATGCAGAAAAGCACAAGGCAAATACAAAATATGGAGGGAGAGATCACTGGACTCATCTGAGAAGGCTTCACATACAAAGGATTCCTCGGGCTTGACAGATAGGTAGAAATTAGGTGGAACAAAGTTTAGCCAGGGAAAATGTCATAAGCTTAACATAAGATTGTCCCAGCAGTTAAAAAAAAATAGGTCAATGAGCGTAGTGGAGGGGGTTCATGTATGTGAGTTGTGAGAGGTTTGAATGAAAAAGTTAAGTTGGGACCATAATAGAAAGGGACTAAAAATGCCGTGCTATGGAGTTGTTCTCTCCTAAACAATGGGGAGAATCATGATAAGCTTCTGGTCAAAACAGTAATTAGGAAAATCAATTTGAGGGCTGGGTATAAGATGGACTGGAGTATAAAGAGACCTGAGGTAGGGAGAAAAGTGAGGAGGTAGTAACTACAGTGGTAAGGACCTTTACTAGTATAGTGGAAATGGGAATTAAAAGAATGGGGCAAATGCAAGAAATATTATCAACAAATAATCAATGGGACTTGCTGACAGATTCAATATTGGGGTTAAAGAAGAAAGGTAAAAAGGTTATTAAGGATCACTGTGGTTTTGAGCTTATGTGACTCTGAGAATGACTGGCAGAAATACAGTGGCCACGAGGAGAAATTATTTTGGGGTAATGATAACTTCTATTTAGACTTGGGGAGTTACAGGAAATAACAGGATATTAAAGTGAAAATGATCAGAAAGAAATTAAAGATGAGGAACTAGAACTGGAGAAAGAGGACAGAACTTGCAGCATAAATCTGGGAGTCCTCCATAAAGAAGTGATCATTGAACCCAGACAGAAACTAAGAAAAGAGAGTTTTAAAGAAGTGGTGGGGAAAAAAGTCAAATGCTTTACAGAGATCCAAGAGAAAAACAATCAGAAAAAGTCTCTGGATTTGGTCATTAGAAATGCAGTCTCCAGCAGTGACTTCACTGTGCTGCCTAAGGGTGGGGAAGCCGACTCTTCAAGGAGTAAGTGGATGAGGATTTTTCCATATAGTATGAAGAGGAATATAGCTGTTTCTAAACTTTAAAACAAAAACATCCAAACTTTGGGACTAAGTAATATTCAGCTCAGATTCATCTCAAAAAGGTAAGAAAGTACTCAATTGAAATAACAAAAGTCACAAGTATTGACTTCTCAAACAAACCTTTGTGAGTATCACCGAATACAGAAAAAGCAATACTCCAAATTTGTTTGTCCACATGGAACACTGATCCCAAATAGCTTCTTTTAGTTCAGGAAAACTTTTGAATGACCTTTTGCTGAAGGAAAAACAAGAAATGAACATTAGTAATTTGTTCATAAAATAGTATAAACCAACAATCAAAGAAAAGGCAGAATACTGAGATTTTAAGTTGTTCCATATGTTTAAAAAACTATAACCAATAAGACACTGAGTATTAAAAAGACTCATAAAGTCATATTAATTAGCAGAGATGAGTTGACTATTTACTTAATATACGGAATTAAGTAAGACTGAAATCCTACTTGGGAGGGACCATCTCTGCATCTCTCACCTATGCATTACATAGGCTGTGTAATGTCTGGGATTAATAACATTATCCAATAATATATGTCTTACAAATATAATTTAGAAAATAAGGTAGCTTTATTCTGAGACAACTGAGTAGAATCTCGAATTTCTGATAATAAAAAAATAATTTAAATAATTTTAAAATAATTAAATAAAAAATAATTCTAAAAATTCATGCTAGGTAGCATGAAATGGTCAAAAACAAAAACAAAAAAAACCCTTTTTTCCTGAAGTTTCCTATAGCCATGGAATCACAGGTCTAGTTTAAAAAAAGAATTAAAATAACCTGAAATATTCAAAAAATATTTTTCATAGATAAGAATATGAGAAACTAAGTCACAACTGAGCTAATTTCAAAGAAAGTGACCTCTAAATTGTGATCCAAACTTCACCTTAGTAAATTCTAATAAGGAAGCATGTCTACTCTTTTATCATGTAATAATGAGTTGAAAAAGTAGTTCTATAAAGAAGTTAGGGCCATATAAATCCTTCCGTTCTCTTAGGGTGAGGACATTTGTTATTTAGCATTAATCATATTTTTTCATTTTCCCTATGAAAATAGATTTCAATGAATAAAATATATTTAGATACTTAATTAGGATTTGGGTAAATTTTAATATATCAGTACATCACTATTTTCTATCCTTTAAATACAACACACAAAAAATTATCCTCAAAGTATTCATTTAAAATCCACATTCAACAGTTTCAATAGTATGATTTTTAAGCACCTTTCCCCTTTTCATAGCATGAATGAACATCAAAAAGTAATGTGCCCACAAGATAAGTATTTTAAATGTTCCAGTGTGTTACTTACTGAATTAATGAATGAAACCGCTCAAAGCCAAGCTCTTCGACAGCCAAGGCAGCTATACATAAAAGACACTTTTCAGCACTACACATGGCAAATAAATGACACAAGATACACACAGCAAGCTATAAATATTTTCAAGCTTCAAATATAACGTCTCCTATTTCCTTCCCCCTCTTAAAGTTACCAGTTTTATTAGCATATGAAGAAATAAAACATTTTGGCATTTAAATTATTATGATTAAAATTAAGATATTTTTGACACAAATTACAAAATAGTAGCTCGATAATAATATTTCCTTTTAATTAAGCTAAACTACTAGGGCTTGCAGAATGGAAGAAATTTCAGGTAGCATTTTGTCCAATTTATAATTGCAAGCATAAATTCAGACCTGTAAATTTTTTTAATAGCAGTGTTAACTAAGTTACACCTTACAATCAGCTAAAAAAAATACTTTTTAAAGAAAAGCAACTATCATTTTGCAAACATAGGATTTCTGTTTTTTTTTAAAAGTTATCTAACACTCAATTTAGTAATAAGACTGCTTTTAAAAGTTACTTCTGATATCTTTTAAATTTTGTCATCCATTGCAAAACGCCCTTTCATTACTATTTTTCCTTTATCTTATTAATTGTTGGTGTTTACATGCCTCAAATGTCTAGAAAAAGACAGAGCATTCTGAGTCTACACAGGTTCAACAACTGCTTTAGATCTGTTTCCGTGCAATTATTCATACAACTTTTGAGTGCTTTTGTCAATTTACCTCTTTAAATTGTATTTTAAGAATGTGCAAATATAAACAAAACACCAAAATAATGAAGTAAAAGGAAACAATGTCCTTAAGCATCCTGTGTCAATGGAAATGCCTCATTTCATTTAAAATGAATACGTCTTAAATTCCAGCATTTAAAAAAAAAATTAGAGCTAATGAACAATGTTTCCCAGTGACTAGCTATGAAAATTACTGCTGATTCATTCTGAATTCACAGTTTAAACCTGACCTAAAGTTACATTTGGATAATACTTTAAAATCTTGTTTTCTTTTGAAAAGACAAATACTTTAGATATTTTAATAATAAGTAGAAAGATTCATTCATATATCAAATATATCACTTATGATAGAAACAAGTTGTAATTGAACCTGAGACTCTAATATTGCAAACAAGTATGCATTTACTAACAAGCCACAAGTATACATCACATAAGCCACTGAAATTGGTGTGCTTACACAAAGTAAAATATGCAATTCAGAACAAAAACCAAACAAATAGCTCATACTAAAATGTTAAAGATTGTGCCTCATTTTCTACAAATATGACTAATTCTAGTGACTGACAACCCCAATGTTTTTAACTGGGGTGTGTCCCATGAAAGCAGACATAAAAAAGTTAATTTAGAATAAAGTGTAAAGCAAAGAAAAAAAAAAAAAAAAGCTTAGCAGGCAAGAATAATGGAAAGATACTATAGAAATACAAGAAACAGAACAAAGCATAGAAGAAGGAAAATAACAGGCACAAGAAAATATTTATGATGAAATAATATTTCACATAAAAGTCTAACTCACTTTTAAGCATCTAAGATAAATTTCAAAATTTCCTGATAAAAACAAATATAAAAACAAGAATAACCCCACATTCCAAAAAACAAACCCTCCAAAATTTGGGAACTATTTTTAAGGATATAATACTATCTTAAATTTTTTTAAAAAAGTATAGTTTCAATGAATTATAATGAGCTATAAGTTTTAAAATGAGGCAGCAAGTATAGTAGAATAATCAATTTACTACATAGAATACTTTAGTATGACAGCAAGTATCTTGGCACTCATATGAATTAGCCTCATTAAAAGAATATATTTGATTAATGGTCATTTAAGTAGGTTAAGTTTGAAATTAAATACTTTGAGTACTCACATACCATCTATATCTCAAACTAAGAATACTATATTAACTATTTAAATGATCTTTATATGTATTATAAAGCAATATACATGATTGTTTCAATAGAAATCGTAAGTAAGCCTATTATTTTCACCCATCTGATAAACACTAAACACACATATAAACTACAAAAATAATTGGAATAATTTGAAGGGCCATCTTTCTCAACAGAAATAGGAAATATCTTCTTTTCATTAGTTTAATAGCGAAATGCTTTATTGTAAATGCACCTGGGACAAAGACATAACTAATTAACCAAGCTCATCATATTTTAATTTTAGAAGCAAAACATGGTAAAGAATTACACTAAATAGCAGTCATAATTCAGTGGGATGTGATTATGAAAGAATCAGGATGGATGTCGTAAGGATAAAAAAATTACTTTTTAGAAATCTGGCAACCAATTTGGAGAAAGGAAGAAGAGGGGAGAGAGCAGGAGAGGGACAGGGACTCAGAAAGAGAAAGGGAAGGATAGTTTCCAAGTTTCTTTAGTATTTTGATTTCTTTGGCTACAAATTGGAATAGCGTACAATGCTTAAGAGATGAAAAAATATTCTATAAGGAGAGAGCTAAAGCTGATGTTAGTATAAAAACTAAGTCTTGATAGCTATCAACTGACTTCTACAAGAAATTTTATCTTGAAACAAAATTATAGAAATGGCTTCTATACCACTAGAAGATTATACATCATAAAATTCATAAATTTAGAGAACAAGTCAATTGGCTATGAAATACAGAGAGGTGGAGTCCACCTTCAGGATAGTAAAAATAGATAAGAATATCTTGGATTATCAGCTTAGATGCAAAAATCACCACCCTGTATTTTGAAATACTTAAATAAAGGTACTTTTAAACTTTTTTTTTTAGTTTGCTCTTTTAATATCATGTGGACAATAATGCCAAACGTCTCAAGAAGAATCTCAGTTTTGTATAAACAAGACAAACAAATAATATTGATATAATCTGCTAAGAAATGTCTCATGTGGAAATAACTTTATTCTAGGAAAGATCTAAAAAAAACACAGGTTTTTTTTTTTTAATGGAGTAAAGTATAACAGGAACTTTACTATAGATTGTCTTAATTTTCCCTTTTGGAATGCCAAAGAAAAATGTTAATTATAAGAAAAGATAAAGGTGTATAGTAAGAGATACTTTAATATTCTGAGCTCACAGGATGAGGCTCAAAAAGTACAAGAGATGGTAATGAAGAAGACAACCAGAATTAAAACATTGTTGCTTTTGATAGATATATTTTTCCTTTCTGAAAAAGTAAAAATGAAAGAGGAGTACTAAAAGAAAGCTAATGTCCTCTCTTGTTTCTAGATGAATGGAAAACTTATTAAAAAAGTATTAGTATTCAGACTTTGAATACAGGCTCACAAATGAAGATGAAAACAAGGATTTTTTTTCTTCTTAAACTATAAAAAGTTTAAACGAAGTGCAAAATAACATTGGGAACAAAATAAAAAAGCATCTTACAAGTATGCTCCTCTTGACAACTAGACTCTGCAGGGCCTTCAGAAATACTTGCAGTGTCCTCGGTGGTCTTTCCTCTTATCCACGCTGCCAAGCAGTAAGACCCAGAGTTGTCAGAGCAGGCAGTTTCTAAAATATCACACAGGGTATGACAAAGAAGTTCCTTCCGTTCTTCCTCTAAAATTGACACAAGTTATAATGTTGTTATAAATATTGCCCCTAAGATTAAACACTGTATCTTGTCACAAATTATAATACCATCAAAATGTATATGTGTGTGTGTGTGTGTGTGTGTCTTTATAAGGGTAAAAAGAAATAACAGGGAAGGCAAAGGAATCAAGAGCGGCTGTGGAAGGTTCTGTACAGGGTGGGATTTTAGTTGTAATTTAAAGGACACCAGAGAGGTCCGTAGTCAGAGTTAAGGAAGAAGACTACTACAGACATCAGAGACAGTCAAAGAAAATGTGTGGAGCTGAGAGATGGAGTGTCTTATTCACGGAATGGTCCAGAGGCCAGTGTCACTGGGTTGAAGAGTACATATATGTTGTGGAACAAGGTGTGTAAGAGTGGAAAGGTAGCAGGGGGCTAGGCTATGAAGCGCTTTGAATGTCAAATAGATCATTTTGTATTTGGTCTTGGAGGCAATGGGAAGCCCTTAGAGTTTACTGAGTAGGGTGTGACATGATTGGACCTGAGCTATAGGGAAATCCATCTGATGGCTGAATGGAGAATGTACTGGAGTGGAGAGAGACTTGAGGAAGACAGAACTACCAACAGGTTATTTCAGTAATCAAGATGTGAGGTGATGAGGGCCTGCACCAGAGTAAGGACAATGTCAGAGAAGAGAAGAGGACATGTTTGAGAGATGTGCAAAGGTAAAATAGATAGTCCTTGGCAACAGCTTGGATATAAAGGGAAAGAATGAGAAATCCAGCATGACTCCTAGGTTGGGAGCCTGAGGGATAAGGAGGATGGTATTGTCCTTAACAATAACTGAGAAGGTAAGAGGTGGGAAGGACTTTGGGGAACGATAATGTGTTACATTTTGGATAAATAGGTTAAGATGTCTGCTGGCCATCCAGTTAGAGATGTCTGAAAGGCAGTTGGAGATTCAAGATTGGAGTTCAGCGGAGAATGTGTGTCAGGATAGGTAGATTTGAGAACCATTAGCATAAAGGCAGCTAGGTGGTAGAGTGGATAAAATGCTGGGCTTGGAGTCACAGAGACCTGAGATCAAATGTGGTCTCAGACACTTAGTAGGTGCATAACCCTGGGCAAGTCACTTAACTCCATTGCCTTCAGTTTCCTCATCTGTAAAATTAGCTAGAGAAAGAAACGGCAAATCACTTTAGTGTCTCTGCCAAGAAAACCCCAAAAGGGGTCACGAAGAGTTGGATATGACTGAACCAACTGAACAACAAGCATAGATCCATGGGAGCTGATAAGATCACCAAGTGAGGTAGGTAGTAGAGAGAGAGAGAAGAGAGCTCAGGACAGAACCCTGAGGGATATTTATGGCTGGGGGTATGATCTGGAGGAAGATCCATCAAAGGAGACAGAGAAGCAGTAGTCACATAGGATAGACATAAAATAGGAGAGAAGGGTGTTCCAAAAACCTAGAGAGAAGAGAGTATCAAGGAGAAGAGAGTAATCAACAGTGTCAAAGGCTGCAGAGAGACCAAGGAGAATAAGGACTGAGAAAAGGTCATATTATTGACTGGAGAGAGCAGTTTCGATGAAATGATAAGGACAGAAAACAGATTTTAAGGGTTAAATAGAGAGTGAAAGGGAAGAAAGTGGAGGCACCTTTTGTATACAGCTTTTTTGAGGAGTTTGGACAAAAGACAAAAGGACAAAAGAGATATAGGATGATAGCAGGGATGGAAGGATCATGTGAGGGTGTTTTCAGGATAGGGGAGACATGGGCATGTTTGTAGATTTAAAATAAGTGAAAAAGTGGGGATTGACAAAGGGGCTATTAATCTTAGTTGGAAGAGACAGGATGGAATGGGATTGCCTGAACAAGTAGAGGAACAGAAGTGAAGGAGCTGAGAGTGGCAGAAGGCACTTGAATGACAAAAGATGAGGAAGAGGGAAGAGGAAGCTGATGGCAAATGGCTCAATTTTTTCTGTAAAATATGAGACAAGGTTTTCAGCTGAGAGAGTACAGGTATGGGGAGCCATGGAAGGTCTGGAAGAGCTGCTCTGGAGGGTGGGATAAAGAGTTGATAAGGGAGGTATAGTAGGTTTCATAACATAAATTTGTAATGAACACAGTCAAAACAGTTTTGTGATTTTTCTTCACTTTCGTTCAGGAGCACATGTGTAGGAGTGAAAGTGAGAAATGTAGAAGTGATGTAAGGTTGAGGACTGGATGGGTATAATTGGTAATATGATAAGGTGACAAGTGAGAGAGGATCAGAGTTTTACTATTTTCTAATATTGGATTACACAGACATACTTTTTTAAAAGAAAAAAAAATCAGCTATTATAAGATTGAAACATTCTTTTTTCTGAGAAGTACCATTTAGGACTATCAAGGAGGAAGATAGGGAGTGAAAGAAGAAGGAAGGGATGAATGGTGGAAATAAAGGAGGGAAGAAGTAATGAGAAGAGAAAATTTCTTTTCTGAAAAATTTTGTTTTTTAAATTAAAGGGACGAACAGGAATTTATGCAGTGTTCTGAACTATAGGGAAATTACAGTATATATGAGTATATATTAGAAATACTACAAAATTATAAGTACTCATTGGTTGATCACATTTTCAGATGTTTGTTTCCAAAACTGTTCATCTTTCATTTTCCACTTCTTTGTAGTGCTCTTAAAAGCACTAAGTTCAATCAACCAATCAATATACATTTATTTATTAAGTGCCTACTAGAGGATTCTGGGAGGCAAGGTTTAAACACCTGATACTGTACCATGTGACAGCTCCAGCTATGGAAATACTGCCATGCTTATAACATCTACAGTATAATGGTCTCTAAGATTTAACCAAGATCTTTAGTTAAAACCATGGTATTTGGAAATCTAGAAAAAAAAGTACTTTCATATTTGGATACAATGTATATTCATAAAACTTTCTCAAAGGGATTTGAAGTGAATATCATATTTGTTTTAAAAGAATTATGTCTACACTAGCATTTTTTGCTTACCAAAAGTATGCATTACCATCTCTTGCATAAAATTTTGCATTTATAGTCAAGTATGTATTCAGTGGTAAAACAGCAATTAAATTAAAAATTTAGAAAAATTACACATTCCCTGCAATTCTTAATACAGTTTTACTGCTTTGTAAATATTTTCAAATGAAGGATTAAATAGGAAGAGTTATAAATTAAGAAAAATCTACTTTAGAGTAAGAATTGTGGATTTTTTTTTTTTTGAGATCTCAGTGAAGGCTGAATGATGTGCTGGAAAGAGTTCCCGGTTATCAAGAATATATGCTTTTGAGTCTCCGTACTATTTACTGTTGTTACAAGTTTTACTTTCTTAGTCTCAGTTTCCTCATCTGCAAAATTAGGATAAGGCCTAATTGTTCTGCCAAACTGAACGGGTAGTTAAGAAAATCAACTGAGAAAATGTATTTTGTAAAAGGCAAAAAACTATTTTAAAAAAAGTGATGTAATTATAAAATGCTTGTTGATTAGGTAAAATGCATTTAAAATAAGTTTTAAAAATCAAGATAAATAATTATTAAAAAATAAAATAAAATACCTTGGCATTCTCTCCAAGAAGATTTTTCAGAAGTAAACAACAGCTTCTTCAAAAGAAATGCCTTTATGAAATTAAAGCAACAATTATTAGAATACATAATAAATATAGCAAAAACTCAAATGTCAATCTCTAATTTTAAAGCATAGGTAATCTAACTCATTTCTCTGTTCAGATCTTTTAATTATGAAAGTTTCTGTTGAATTGAAATTTCCCCAATATGAAAATATACTTTGTTTTTTTTATTTGAACTGACTTTTTTATTAATAAAACAGATTTAAAGTTAAGGCTAATTTTAAAACCATATATGTCATTGACAGAAGTTCAAAATATTATAACTGTGTATTACATGTTTATATATAAGATATTATATTTTGTATATACATTATATATTTATATAATAGCTCGTTCTTCTGTCAGGCATGTTATTCTCAACAAATGGAAACAAATGAAGGCAAGAGGCTTAACAAGTATGTGTCTCCTTTGGACTTCTTCATCACATCCCCAGGAACCTCATCATCTGGCAAGATTGCATCAGCCTTTGTACTCACACCACATCAATATTCTCTGCCTGTAGGACTCCTGATTGGAGAGTGGAATGAAGAGCTCCTCTTAAAATTTCCATTTAAGGAGGGTACCCAGGCCAGCCATCTATTCTCCACCCACTTTCCCTTTCAGCTTCCTTTTCTGTTGTTTTCTGAGGTAGATTATAAGCTCCTTGAGGGAAGGGATTTTCCTTTTTGTATTTGTATGCCAAGCATTTAGCCTAGTGCCTGGCATGTAGCAGGTACTTCATAAATTTTGATCGAGTGATTAATCTGTAATATAAATTGTTATTTGTCCATAGCAAGCAGACTGGCGTAGTGGAAAACATGCTAGTCTTGGGGTTAAAAAGATTTGAGTCCTAATTCTACCTAGCTCTGTGATCAGGAGCAAGTCATGTCACCTTTCTGAGCCTCAGTTTCCCCTACCTTGCTGGGTTGCTATGAAACTCAAATAAGATAACACTGACAAAGCACTGTGCAAACTTGCCAGTGCTACATGAATAATATTTGTTCCTACTATAGTGAAGTGTAGTATAAATTAATATCTCTTCAGGTATTCAAAGAAGTACACCTAAGCACACTGAAAGCACATGTCATAAATCAGCAATTTTCCGCTTTAGGCTTATGTAGCAAATTATACAGGTTCAAGCTGATTGAGAGCCTTATGTCCATGATAAACAATCATACGGATTTTTGTAAACCAGAACATGAGAGGCAGTGTGGGACAGGCATAATGGCTAGAGGGCCAGCCTTGAAGGCAACCTGGGTTCAAGATCTGCCTCTGATACTTTACTGGTTGTGTGACCCTAGGCAAATGACTTAATTTCAATGGCTCAGGAAGCTTTCTAGAATTTTAAGTTCCAGGTGAAATGCCCAAAGAGATACACACTGCTTGAGAAGTTCTCCAAACCAATGCAATCACAAGTCTAGACTAACTCCTTACAAAAACAAGCAATCCCCAGATTTAACAGAGTCTTCTCACCATGCATTTTGTAAACCATCACCAGCACATGTTACCTGAACAGGAGCAATAACTGCACAGGGGCCACCTTCAAATTGTTCCAATGCAGAACCTTCTGATTCACTAAACACAAAGCCTAAAAGTAAAAGTAAAAATAAGTGATTAAAAATATCATTAAATATTTCTATGAGAAACATCATTCATCAGAGTAAGCAAAATATCTGTGGAGTAAAAGGTTGGAGACACATCAAATCTATTGATTAGGAAAGGAATATGTGACACAGCTATTGGTAGCTAAATCTAAACAATCAGATAACTCTCTGTGCCTTGATTTTCAATTTGTAAAATTAAGAGAATAAATGAGATAACATACAACAAATTTCATCAACTTGGATTTTAAAAGATAATAAAAACTCAGGGTTTAGTATTCCTCTACTTTGTTTTCTTCACTGCTTAGAAGAAGAAAAGAGGCTTTTTGGTTACTTTTGACAGAGTATTTTGATTTTTCAAAGCCTTCCAAGAAACACTAAAAGCCATACATTTATCTTTAAACACTGAACCACATTCCCTAAAATAAGAATGTAGAGTGGTGTTAAAGAATAATAATAACAACACATACGTAACACTTTATTGTTTGCAAATGTCTTTCTATATATTACCTCCTTTGGTCCTCATAACCTGGTGATATACATGCTATTATTATTCCAATTTTATAGCTGAGGAAACTGAGACACATGTTAAGTAGGCCTCAGATCTTCCTGAGTTTGGCTTTAGGGTGATAATCTCTAAAGCTCACTGTTTCTTATTTAATTTACTCAATGCCCAACCAAAAACAGGCTGTGCAAAGAATATCAAGGGCAGAGGCCCTTGATTACCTTTATTTACAGTTATCATGGTTGATTCCTCTTGAGATTACAAAAGTTTGTTTTGTCTAACATAAAAGTTCTATATAGGCACAATCTGTATAACAATCAGGGATCTAATAAATGTATATTAGTATTGGAATGGTTTCATTCCTTCCTAAAAACTAATTCTAAAATGTAGTCTTCAGAATCTGTGATATAGTGAGACTGCCTGAAAGTGAACTTTTTGGGCACAAAGAGCTGAATTGAAGAGTATGTGGGGGAGGGAGGTATAAGAAGGCTAGAAAGGTGGGCAGGAGGAGAGGTTATAATGGGCTTTGAAAGCCAAACAGAGGATTTTATAGTTGATCCTGGAGGTGGCAGGGAGCCATTAGTGTTTGTTGAGAGGAGAAGTAACATGGACTTCAGGAACTGAACTTCAGGAAGCTCGCTTTGACAGCTAAATGGAGGATGGACTAGAGTGGAGAGAGACTTGTAGCAGGCAGCCCAACCAGCAGGCTACTGCTATAATCCAGATAATGAGATGAGGGTCTACACTAGGGAGGCAGTACTGTCAAAAAAGAGACTGGGTCATATATGAGGGATGTTATGAAGGTAAAATAGACAGCGTTTTGCAACAGATTATACATTGAGGCGTGAGGGAGAGGAAGTCAAGGATGACATCTAGGTTACAAGCCTGAATGAATGACTGGAAGGATGGTGGTGCCCTTAACACTAATAAGGAAGTTGGGAAGAGGTGAGGGTTTAGGTTGAAAGATATGTTAAGTTTAAGATGCCTATAGGACATCCAGTTCAAGATCGCCTACAGGCAGTTTGAGATTGAAGTCTGGAGGTTAGGAAAGAAGTTAGGGCTAAATAAGCAGATGTGAGAATCTTCACCATAGAGATGATAATGGAATCCATGAAAGTTGATAAGGTTGCCACCTGTCATCTAGTGGGAGATGAGAAGAGGATCTAGGACAGAGCGTTGGGGGACAACCAGTCAGTGGAGGTCAGCTGTTAGATAAAGATCCATTAATGGAGACTGAGAAGGAATAGTCAAATAGGAGAAGAACGAGGATACAGTAGTGTCATGAAAACTTCTGAGTTATCCGAGAAGAGGCTGATCAACTCTGTCAAAAGCTATGGAGGTCAAGAAGGATGAAGACTGAGAGAAGGTCATTAGATTTAGCAAACAGATCATTGGTAATTTTGGAGACAGCTGTGACTGTCAGACTTGGTTGATTAATTTATTAGTTTTGCTGAACTTTTTTTTTAACTTCTCTTTTATTTTTTATTACAAGGAACAGCTTTTTGGGGAGGGAATATGTTTGGAAATTGAGACATCAGTAAAAACTTTAAACAAAAGAGTTGAGTTGTTGCCATATGAGGGTCATTGAAAGGAACTCAGGCTGTTTAGCTTGGAGAAAAAGAATCTTAAAAGGACATGATAACAGTATTAAGGTACTGAAAACAGTCAATTAGAAGAGCAATCAGACTCGTTCTGCTTGATCCCAGAATACTGAACTAGGAGCAATGAGTAGAAGTTGAAATGAGGCAAGTTTAGGTTTGATTTAAATGACCTGTTTCAAACCATTAGAGGTATCTAAACCCCACTTTTTAAAAATTTCGTTGGTGCCTTTTGTTTTTATATCCCAGGCATTTCACCATAGTTCTCCCTCTCCCATTGAACTCTACCTTGTAACAGAAACATTTCAGCAAACTGATCAACACAGTAACCATGTTGGATAGTGTATAAGTATGTTCCACACTCCTCTATTAAGAGAGGTGAGAGAGTGTTTTAACATTAGTTTTTTCCAGTGGGAGAAAGGGAAGAGTAATAAGCATTCATTAAGCACCTACTGGGTACCAGGAACTGTGCAAGCAAGTAACAAATACCATGTCACTTGATCCTCACAACAACCCTAGGAGGTCGGTACTGCACAGCTACTAAGTGTGAGACCAGATATGAATTCATCTTCCTGATTCAAAGTCTAGCACTCTATTCACTGTACCACTTAGCTATTTCTTACACAAGTTGGTCATTACAAGTAATTATATCTCATGGCCTTTTAATGGTGTTTTTTTTTTTTTTACATTTTGTAGTCATTGGATGTTTTGTTTTCTTGTTTTTATTTTGTTCTGCACCAGTTCATACATGTCTTCCTGTGTTACAATTTCAATTATAGGAAAAAGAAGTATGTGATAGCATAAACTTTTTCATAATCTTTAGGTGGGAAGACATGCCAAACATATGAAAAGTAGTATTTTCCCTTGAAAAATACACTAAGTGAACTGATATTGAGTGAAGTAAGGAGTACTAGGAATACAAAATTACTACAACAAGGTAAATGGGAAAAAACACAAAACAAAACCGAATGTTGCATAATTATGATGAAGCTTGATGCTTAAGACAGAAAATGATGCATCTCCCCCGCCTAACCTTTGCTGCAGATTGGGGGAATTTGTCAATAAATATTAAGCAACTATCCCAACCATTGGTAATCCCTGGGGGATATAAAGAAAGGCAAAAGGTAGCCCCTGCCCTCAAGGAGCTTACAGTCTAATGAGGGAGACAACATGCAACTATGTACAAATAAGCTACAGGATAAACTGGAAATAATCAACAGAAGAAAAACATACAGTAGCAACTCAAGGTCTTTCAACAGCCATGACTGCCCATTGTATAGTGGGAAAAAACACTGGAATCGGAAGAAGTAGACCTTCAATCAAATCATGCTTCTTTCACTTATCACCTTGCCTGACTTTGGGTAAATCATTTAAACTATCTGGGCCCCAATTTTCTCACCCGTAAAATGACGGAGTTTGACTACATGGCCTCTAAGATCCCTTTAAACTCTATCTATGATCCCTATTATCTTTCTCTAGTCATTCTCCACTTCAATGATGACTTCTCTAAAATATGGAATGCAGAACTGAACACAAGATATGATCTCACTAGGGTAGAGTACAGTGGTATTATCACTGTCCTGGACACTAGACTTCTATTAATGCAGCCAAAGCTTACATTAACTTTTAAGTTTCCACTAAAAACACTATTTACTCACAGTGAGCCTGAAGTCCACTAAAATACCCTTCCCTGCCCATCTCCAGTCTTGTATTTGTGAAGTTGGTTTTATGATTTTATGATTATAAAAAGCTTTACATTTGTCATTTTTTACATTTGCTTTTTAATGAACCATCTACAACATTTCAATATACAAAGAATGTTGAAGAATAAGAAACAATTTCTAAGTAGTTTTCCTTCAATATATATAAATTTTTAAAATAGTAAAAATCTTTATTTTATGTCCCTTTCTGCATACTTTTTTTGGTTTTCTTTTGTGCATTTTAAATGTTTTGATGCCCTTTTTTGACAATCTCTATCGTTATTCATGAATTCATCTCTATCCTGATATAGAAGCTTTCCCTTGTAACATGTATTTTTTAAGCAAAACAGATCAAGACATGTCTATTAAATTTCATTATACAGAGCTCCATGTTCTGGCCAATCAAATACTTTTTGTATCCTGACTTTATCATGCAGTGGATTAGCTGTTTCTTCTAACTTATGTCACCTGCATGTGTGATAAGCACACTATATATACACAATATATGTATATGCTATACATGTGTATATTTACTATTTGTATTATATATTTATTTATAATATATACTATGTGTTTATATGTTTACTATCTATAATGTGTGTCATATATGTAAATATATACACATGTGCATATATATATATATATTACCTATTTCTCTATCTAGCTTATACACTTATGCCTACATTCAGGTCACTGATAAAGGACACAGGGACAAGAAAAGATTTCTAGAGTATTCCACTAAAGACAACCTGGCAAGTTATCATCACACTATTTTTTAGTCCTGTCATTTAATGAGTTCCCTACCAACCCACCTAACCTATTAGCTAGCCCACATTTCTCCACCTTGTTCACAAGATTAATTATCAAATATTTTGCTAATATTTAGGTAAATATAAACCACACCTACAGCATTCTTTTCATACCAATTAACCCTATCCAAAACAAACAAACAAAATGAATGACATTAGCCTGGCATAATCAGTTCTTGATAAAGTTATGCTGGATCTACAGGATCACTTTCATTTATAGATGTTCATGAAAATAATTTGTAATAATTCATGAAAATAATAATTCTGCCAGTAAACAAAGTCAAAGCTCACTCATCTACAGTGCAGTTGCAGTCACATAGATGCCTATATTCTGAATACATTCCAAAATTGCTCCACCTGGTCAGGCAGTGGCAA